ATAATCATAAGTTAGCAATAAGCAATTATTTCCAGGTCTCAGGTGCGATCGCCAGCTGCATAAAAGGGCCAAGATCGCGTTTCTGCCTGGGTTCCGCGCGTAACAGGCTTCGGCTTGGTGTCGCATGGGCCACTTGATGGTGCAGTCATTGCATATCAACGTCCAGACAAAGGCGGAGAGTGGAAAAAGATCGGCCGAAAGACTAGGCAGTCCATCAGCCCGAACACAAGACACTGCACTAGGCAGTCCATCAGCCCGAATACAAGATACAGGCAGTCCATCAGCCCAAACACAAGACACTGCACAAGGCAGTCCCTCAGTCACACACCCAAGACACTGTACTACGCATTCCCTCAGTCACAAACACAAGACACTGCACAAGGCAGTCCCACAGTCACACACCCAAGACACTGCACTACGCAGTCCATCAGCGCACCATTCGATACGAGTTGAAGTAGCAGAATTTAAGTGAATGAAGAAAGTGAATGAAAAGAATAAAGAATACTGAATAAAAACTAAACCAACAAACAAAATCGTCGCCTCATCATTTCTCGCTGCCTACTACATTCTTTTGCCAGCCAGCCCGACACCTGAAGTCACCTACAAACTACAAATTTTCTTGTAGCGGACCCTGGACAGACTGAAGCTTACCTCAGCCTGAAATAGGACCTCACAAGACAAGACAGAGAAAAATAAATATCAACCTCAGCACACGCGCGGCCGACAGACAGAAAAACCCGAGGACTCAGCACACGTGACATCGAACGGCGATCACCCCCCGCAGCGGAATACCACCAATAACCTGGAAAAGTGTCGCTCAACCCGCTAAGACGAAACCTGAGCCCGGATCGAAGAAAAGCGGCTATGTACGGCCGCAACGGCCCTATCAAGAAAGGGAAAACGCTATATATAGCTGAGTTCTCCACTTACTAAATCAGTTCGCTTCTTAATTTGAGTGAAAGTTATTATGCGAGACACCCACCGCTAATTCAACGCGCCCATCAACACCTTCACAGGATGGACACTACAGTGATCCTTTTCACCATGATCACGACGGCCCAGGCACTATTCAAGTTACACGACTATACGAACGCCGACTACATTCCCCTCGTGGATGGAGAAGCCGTCATCTGGGATAGCTACGGATACCTGCGCCACACAACAAACATAACATCTTACGAGGAGTATGTGGTTCAGACGGAGCAGGCCACCGAACTATTCGCCGTTAACCGGATGACCGAGGTAATCACCACAGACTTAGGCCACATTCGCAACTTGATAGCTACCCTGAAAATCCACCATCGGGAAAGACGAAGCATCAATCTGCTTGCGACGGCCCTTAAAGTCATAGTCGGCACGCCTGACTTTAACGATTGGGAGCAAGTGCGCTTTAAACAAGGCCAATTGGTGGAAGCAGAGGCCAATCAGATGGAAATCAATACCAAGATCCAGGGACGGCTAAATGAACTGACGCATTATATGAACACCATAAGCAAATCCGACGACGCCGAGAGGAACCAACTGGTGGAGATAATCCTTTCTAAAAATAGGATTATTATCACCGATCTGGAAAACCTCATCCTCGGACTAACGTTGGCACGGATACATATAATCACCCCATCCCTACTAGACGGCGCCGACATCCAAGAATTTGAGGCCCAACATCTCACAAACATCAGCTTGGTGGAACTTTTAGGTGTATCAAAAGTGAGCGTCTTTCAGAGCTGCGACCTACTCACGTTCCTGATAAAGTACAACTGCGAAGCCACTGTCGGCGCGACATCCTGCCGGGAGCATCAAGGGACAACCTGCGCCCAGCTGATGGTGGCGGGGTCTGTCGCTAGGTCACCTAGAGGCAATCAGCCACGTGGACCATGGGACTGCCATCATTAACGACGCCCAAATAACCATTCTGGAGGAGACCGGCGCTCAACAAAACATCTCTGGGACCTATCTGGTGACGTCTTCCCACCGGACCTATCACTATATATAACTATACTCGTACGTCCTGGGGACTCAGAGTGACCAGGATCCACCTAACCGCGGTGGATGTACTCCATCCCCCAGGACAGAGTGCGAAGAGGTACTGCGGGTTATACCGCAAACAATTTGGGACATGCGAGTCGGAGGAGGAAGGTACAAGTCCCGGCCCCAGCAGGAAAAGGCGCCGCTACGATTAAATGCGGCGCCCTACAACACCACCTCCTACCGGAAGAAAGGGGGGGGGGGTGTAACGAACCATGGTTCGTCACAACACAGGAACACCTGTCTTTAAGTTGAAAATATCTCTACATGTATGGTTATATAAATAAACACTAAGTAAAACCTCAAATTTCCCTAAAGTTACATTCCTTTCCCACGGTACCGGTGCATATCGATCACCTTACCGGGGACACCTGTTGGGAGGCGATTGATTAGGTAACTCTCGATTACCGGGCAAAACCCGCCACATGCGCAAGCCAGTCAGCAGTCTCCGACTTTCCTTACCGGGAATATTGTACACTCACTGCAGGGCTAATGATTAGGTAACCTTCTGTTACCGATCAGCCCGTCTTCACGCGCAGACTATAACTCGGCCATAGATATTTATGTAAGAACCCTTCCCACGGTCTGGAGTAGAAATAAGATATCTATAAGACATTCATGGAAGGCCGGCCGATCTATAAAAAGGCAGTCCACCAGCCATCGTCGGAGGCAGTCCACCAGCCATCGTCGGAGGCAGTCCACCAGCCATCATCGGAGGCAGTCCACCAGCCATCGTAGGAGGGCAGTCAAACCACCATACGCGTCGTCAAATAATCAAACATAACATAACCGGTTAGAATAATAATACGGAAGAATAAAGACATCCATTAAAATTAAAAGAACCAAAAAGTGTTGTGATTTCTATTTCAGTTGTTGGCAAAGTTCCTGGTTTTCCCGATAAAGTCCTCGTGAATTTTAAATAGCTTGTAATTCAGGACCCTGTACAGACTGATGCATACCTCAGCCTGAGATAGGACATTACAGTACTTGTTGGCGTTATCGGTCAATTTCTTTGATATTGTCAAATATGTAGCGGCACCCACGTCAGACGTGGCGTAGCTACGTACGTGCAAGACGGTGCGGCGCACCGGAGCCCTTGAGCTTAAGGGGCTACCAAGCTCATGGGCCCAGACTCTGACCAAAAAATCACCAAAAAATCTCTCACTCCTCACTTCTGTTTGAAATGCAAGCATGAATTCGACTTGTATAATTAAGCGTCGTTTTAAGTATTCTACATCAAATTTTAAGGAGAAACGGCTGGAGTAACGTTCCAAACGGTAAAATATGATTTTCGGAGGGTTTATCAACCAATTTCAGATGAGCCTTTTCTTCATTAATTAATATGCACCTATAAACAATAATAAAGACGACTGCTCTCATTTTCGTGCAGAGAATTACTGAAGTTTTTATTTCATCTTTTCCCTACTTATAGGGATGAAAGCTTAGTATATAATGTACATAAAGTGTACATAGTGTTTCGACACCGGAGACTGCTGGCTTAGGTCATCGCCGGATGTTGATTCGAATGTGTTTACATTCGAATCTCTGCTGTTGTGGTGGAATGTGCTGTCGCGGACGATGTCCGGGTTGAACGACATCCGATTCGGCCATCTGGTCATTCTCTGCGTTTTGTGCTCTGTGCCTGACACAGATTATCGTCCTTTGAGGTGGCGGAAGGGGGCAAACAAACGTAACAAACACAAAAAAAGATATGAAATCGAGATTATGTCACGCAACACACTGACAACTAAATCTGAGCACTACTTAATCAAAAAAAACACTAAAATCGCGAGATTGATATAGTTTACGACCAATGCGCAGTTCTACTTAAAATACGATGTCGCCGTACTGTTGCAATGTTTTTTCGACGGTAAAACCGCCATTTTCCACTTTAACACAATTTATTAGATTATGTCACAAAACACACTGACAGCTAAATCAAAGCAACAGAAGGAAAAACACCAGGCACAATTTAACAACCCAGGGTTCAGCACCGGCTGGATGCACAAGCGCCGTCAGGAAAAGATGGAAGCTTTCGCCGCGGATTCAGCAGCGCAGCATTAGTAGCCGGGCCACTCGCGTAGTGCGCCTGTGTTCTACTGGTTACAGTGATTGTGCTCTTTACCGAGCTGATGCTCTTATTCGTTGACATTTTGTTCTATTATTTCTATTATTCTTTATTACACGATTGGATGATATTCATGGGCTGCACAAGCACTAGTACCCATGCATACCCTTACAGCTTTTTCACGGCAGAGCGATACAAAAATACGTCTGAAAAAGTTAACGTTTGACGGTTGAAAAAAAACAATAAATAAATGTGTTGTTTTAACATTTATTTACATTTTGTATGGGCAAATACGAAAATTTGAAGTTCAATTAAAAAATTACCATTTCCAAATAGCACGTAAATTCTTAATAATTCGAGGCCACTTTGTTAGCAATTCTACCCTTTTTTACCCTTTTTCTTAAGGCGGCCTCAACAGGGACGCAAGGGTTAAAATGCATTCTTGTGTTTAATAAACCTTACTAGTTCATTCCGCTTTGTAGTACAAACTATTCTTTGCATGAACCGTACATTTTCTTATGCATGGATTATAATTCCCCGTCTCTTCTTAATTTTGTAATACGAACATAACTTTAACGTAATTAGCAATATTATTTGAAGATAATTTAAATGCATGCATATCTTTTGAGTTACGTTTAGTTCTTATTTTCCGGGAATACTCACATTAGCCTAACATCTATCATGGTAAATGTTCGAAAACAGACCTCGCTAAAATCGCAAAAAAAAAAAACATTTAATGACTGCGACTTGTCAAGAATTTACGTGCAGAAACTATTTGACGGTCGGGCATGGTTATTTTTTAATTGAATTTCAAATTTTCATTTTTGCCCAAACTGTATCAAACATAATCATGAATTCGTTTGAATAAAATGTCAAAATTTGCCCACATAGTTCCTAAGTTTTATTAAAGATTTTTTTTCTGCTTATGAGAAGTTGCACGGGTTATAAAATTTCTATTTCGCGGTTAATATCGCAAAATACGGCCAACATTTTTTATTTTTTATCTGACCAAAACGCTAGGTTAAAGATAAAACAATCTCAGAGTGTGAAAGTGCCTACTGATTTCCAATGTTGATACTTCATCGCCATTATCCTGATAAAAAAAGGAGAAAGGTAAGATTTTTTTTTAACAAGGAGGAGAAAAACCGCGATATATACATTTACCAACCCATGCAACTTCCCATAACTACAAAATAAACGGGGTAACGACATAAGTCCGCGCGACATATCTCCGCCCATACATTTCCGCGCGGAGATATGACGCAAAAATCCGATCGGAGATATGTCGCTATGCCAAATAAACAGCTTTTAACGAAACTTCAAAACTCATAAATATGTGTTCGAATTTTGACATTTCATTAAAAAGCTACATGGTTATGTTTACAAAATGTAAAATCTATGGGCAAAAATGATACTCCAAAATTCAATTAAAAACGAGGAGCAACGTTTTAAGTCACTTCTGTTGGCGCGACTCTACTATTATACCCGTACTCAGTCAGTATATACATGTAACAGGGAGTGAGCAAGTCGGCCCACTGAAGGAGCATTGGTTAACAGCAGTGACAGCAGAGCAGCAGCGGTAACAGTAGATGAACAGCAGTAAAAGCAGTAACAGCAGCAAAAGAGAACGAGAAACAACAGCAGAGAGGAAGATCAGCAGAAGGAGTAGAAAGAAGACAACCGAAGCAGACGGACGTAGCGTTGAACAGCAGCAGCAGAAATCAGCCGATATCAGACAGTTACCGAAGCCCAACTTTTCTTACTATTACCTGTGCACCGCAATATAATATCAATAAAACTATACCTAAATAACAACTTACATTTGGGGGCTCAACCGGTCGCGTATTGCCAGCGAAAAGTGAAAATTTGTATACCGTATGTCTCACAAGAAGATAAAGCGAGACAGAAGATAAGCTTTGCGCCGCAAGTCTCAGAAGCCGCCAGCAGAAGAAGCGAGACAGCTAGACAGCGAGTGAGTGAAAAGCAGAATTGTGAAAAAAACGTTGTTCCAAGCAGGCAGCCCGAAAAAGTATTGCGCAGTAGAATTATAACGCAAAATAAAAGCGCACCAACAGCCAAGAATATGCAGCAAGACGAAGGCCCAAGTGGATCAGGGGCATGCGGGAACTACCGCCAAAACACAGACAATGAAACGAGGAGTGCAGCAGTCATAGAAGAAAACACACAGACGCTACAACAGCTGGTACAACTTCTTTCAATGAAAATTAGTGCTGATGAAATTGACAAGAAAAATGATGCAAGGCTGGTAGTGGAAAATTTTGCCAAAATTATTCCCGAATTCAGTGGAGAAAATATGTCGGTACAGCAGTGGTTCAACAACTTCGAACTAAACGCAGAGGCATATGGACTTAACGACAAGCAAAAATACGTACAAGCTCGAGCAAAAATGACATGTACGGCCGCTCTTTTCCTCGAGTCCATAGCAGTGTATGAGTACGGCCAGTTACGTCAGGAACTTATACAGGAGTTTAAGAGTGATCGTTTATGCAGTGCCGAAATTCACAATCAGTTGTCGGTACGAGTGAAAACTAACAATGAAAGTTTTCACGAATATATACTGCAGATGAAACGCATTGCTTCGCATGGGACAACAGACCCGGAATCGGTAATTCGATACATTGTCGACGGATTGAAGTTAAAAACGGATTACAAGTACACCTTGTATGGATGCACTTCATACAAGCAGCTGAAAGAGAAGTACGAAATATACGAAAGAACGCTGTCGGCCGATGAGGGTTTGATGCTGAAGAAGAAAGACGCACAGCCGTTCGAAAAGAGGCAAAATCACAACAACTATATGAGAAAACAGCACTGCTATAATTGTGGATCCCAGGACCATCTACGCAGGGATTGCCGAGCTGCATTGAAGTGTTTCCGATGCAATCAGACTGGACACATGTCGAAAGTCTGCCCGAGTGCGGCTGCCGTAAACGTGGTATACGAGGAAAAACGCCTGAAGTCTCTCAAAATCAACAATGTGCAAGTAAAGGGGCTCATAGACACCGGGGCAGATGTTTCCATTTTAAAAATGTCTGTGTTCGGGAAAATGAGTGGCGTAATTCTGCAACCAAGCTCGTCAACTTTAAGAAGACTGGGAAACAACATCACACGCTCCGCTGGGCAGTTCATGGCAGAAGTAGAGATCGACGGAATGTGTCTGGCACACAAGTTCCTTGTTGTGGCCGATAATGCCGTCGGATGCGAATTGCTGCTGGGACACGACTTCATATCCAGATTCACAATGATGTCAACGCCGGGAGGTTATCAGTTTTCTCCCCTGTCAGGGGAGGAAACTGTGGACACCAAACAGATAAGTATTTACAATGTGGTTGAAGCAAAAACTGATATAGACGTCCCTTCGCAGTACAGAGATGCCGTCCAATCGATGATTCAGGAGTTTAACGAAAAGAAGCAGACTGCCGTGTGCCCGATCATGCTGAAGATCGTGCCGGATGAGAACATAGCACCGTTTCGACATGCGCCAAGTCGAGTGGCCATTAGCGAAGCCGATGTCGTTAAGCAGCAGGTCGATGAATGGGCCAACGAGCCAATACGACGCTCATCATCGAATTTTGCCAGTCGGACAGTAATCGTCAAGAAAAAAGATGGGAGCAACCGGGTCTGCGTGGACTATCGTCAGTTGAATAAGATGGTCTTGAAAGATTGTTTCCCCGTTCCAATCGTTGAAGATGTGCTAGAGAAACTGGAAAATGCGAAAATGTTCACCATCATGGACCTGGAAAATGGATTCTTTCACGTTCCTGTGGAAGAAGGCAGCAAGAAGTATACGGCGTTCATAACGAAGCAAGGCCTCTATGAGTTCAACCGCGCGCCTTTCGGTTTTTGCAATTCGCCAGCAGTTTTCATCCGTTTTATTGGCTATGTATTTCAAAACCTCATAAATGAAAACATTCTAGACTTGTACACGGACGATATCGTTATACACGCCGAAACCGCAGACGAATGACTGGGAAAGCTAAAGAAGGTTTTTGATGCAGCAGCTGAATACGGACTGAAGATGAAGTGGAAGAAGTGCAGATTCCTGCAGTCCACCATTACATTCTTGGGCCATCAAGTTGGAGGAGGAGAAATCAAGCCTGGACTGGAGAAAACCAAAGTCATCAGAAAGTTTCCGATGCCGCAAAACATAAAGTCTGTGCAGTCCTTTTTAGGATTAACTGGGTTTTTCCGTAAATTTATAAAAAACTATTCACTAATCGAAAAACCATTAACGAATCTGCTGCGAAAAGATGTCCATTTCAAAATAGGTCTGGAGGAGCAGCAGGCGGTCGCCATACTAAAGGAAGCATTGGTGAACGAGCCGGTGTTAAGACTCGCAGGAATGCAAAAACCGAGATACATACTGATGCGTCGAAGGACGGGTTCGCAGCCGCACTGTTACAGTGGCACGAAGGACAATTGCATCCGATCTTATTCTGGAGTAAGAAAACGTCAGAGTCTGAAGCACGACAGCATAGCTATATACACGAAGCCAAAGCTATTTTTCTCGCATGCAAAAAATTTCGCCAGTACATACTTGGAACCAACTTTAAGCTCGTAACTGATTGCGTCGCCTTTAAGCAAACGTTAAGCAAGAAGGACGTTCCGCGTGAGGAAGCCCAATGGGTTCTGTACCTGCAGGACTATGATTTCGAAGTGGAACACAGAGCAGGAGAATGTATGAAGCATGTGGATTGCCTGAGCCGATACCCAATTGATGTGATGATGGTAACGTCGGAGGTCACAGCAAGAATTAAGAATGCCCAACAGGAGGACACGATGATCAAAGCAGTTTCCGAAATTCTCAAGAGTAAGCCATATGACAACTTTAAATTGAAGGCTGGTCTTGTGTACAAGGTTGTGAAAGGAACGGATTTGCTGGCGATACCGAAATCACTAGAGAGGGAAATAATAACCGAGGCTCACAACGCAGGACACTTCGCCGCCCAAAAAACACTGCATGCCGTACAGCAGAGCTATTGGATCCCACATATGGAAGGAAAAGTACTGCAGATCATAGGGAACTGTATGAAATGCATAATTTACATCAAAAAGCTGGGCAAAAAAGAAGGGTTTTTGCATCAAATCGACAAGGGATCAGAGCCGCTTCATACTCTACATGTGGATCACCTGGGGCCGATGGACGCTACTTCAAAGCAGTACAAGTACATCTTCGCGATGGTGGATAGCTTCAGCAAGTTCGTATGGATGTATCCCACGAGAACAACAGGCGCAGACGAAGTTCTCAAGAAGTTAAGGGAATGGTCTGATATCTTTGGAAATCCGGCTCGGATTGTAAGCGATCGTGGAGCAGCATTTACGTCTTCTAGTTTTGAGGAGTTTGTGAAGGAAGAGAACATCGAACACGTATGGGGCACCACAGGGGTGCCAAGAGGCAATGGACAAATTGAACGCGTAAACCGATCCATTCTGAGCATTATTTCAAAACTGTCGTCGGAGGAACCTGGAAAATGGTATAAGTTCGTACCCCGAGTTCAGAGGGCTATCAATAGCACTGTTCATGGATCTACAAAGCGTTGTCCATTTGAGCTAATGATCGGTGTAAAAATGCGTTGTGGACCAGATAGCGATATACTTCAGCTAATAGAAAAGGAGATGGTTGATCATTTTGACGACGAAAGACAGAAGATGCGACAAGAAGCAAAAGAAAACATTCAGCAGGCCCAGAACAGATACAAGGAACAATTCGATAAAAAGCGGAAATGCGAGTACGGTTACAAAGTCGGAGATCTCGTGGCCATACGCAGAACACAATTCACAGCTGGAAGATAGCTAGCGAATTCTTAGGACCATACGAAATAACCAACGTGAAACGAGGCGGACGCTATAATGTTCGAAAAGCAGCAGACGTCGAAGGACCAAATAATACGACCACGAGCAACGATAATATGAAACTATGGAGATTTTCGGTAGAAAACGAGGACGCATGGTCATCAGGGACTGATGACTAATCAGGATGACCGAATGTAACAGGGAGTGAGCAAGTCGGCTCACTGAAGGAGCATTGGTTAACAGCAGTGACAGCAGAGCAGCAGCGGTAACAGTAGATGAACAGCAGTAACAGCAGTAACAGCAGCAAAAGAGAACGAGAAACAACAGCAGAGAAGAAGATCAGCAGAAGGAGTAGAAAGAAGACAACCGAAGCAGACGGACGTAGCGTTGAACAGCAGCAGCAGAAATCAGCCGATATCAGACAGTTACCGAAGCCCAACTTTTCTTACTATTACCTGTGCACCGCAATATAATATCAATAAAACTATACCTAAATAACAACTTACATACATATGTATATGAGCTTATTATTTCTGTAGAATTTTTAAATGTTTTATCAGTTTATACTTTTTTGCTACATCTGTAATCTACATCCACACTGTAGATTCTACATTTACTCCTCCAAAGTGCGCGCGCACACTGCACAGGGAAAAGTATGTGCGAGTGAGAGAGAGAATGAGTTGCGGCTGCAGCGCTGGAAGGGACTGGTGTAACAATAGAAAATTAATTTCCTTGTTCGGAAATATAATAGTGTATTCACCCTCTACGATATTGCGATTTTTGTTTTCTTGTATCTTCAAAATTGTGGTTTTCGTCCATTGTGGATGCGGAACGGAGTGCGAAATACACTTGTAACAGTGTGATATTACACGAGCTTGGAAACAAAATTTGGTTGCTCTAGCTTTTATAGTCTCTGAGATCTAGGCGCTCACCGAGACGGGCAGACGGACGGACTGACAGACATGGCTATATCGACTCGCCTATTAATTCTGATCAAGAATATATATACTTTATGGGGTTGGAATCGTTTTCTTCTGTGCACACATCCACTTTGACCACAAATTTCATATATAGTGTACCCCTTCACTCTTCGGGTACGGGTATAAAACAAAAGTCCAACCACCAAATAGTTTCTGCATGTACATTTTGTGACAAATTTTTTGTTTGCGATATTAAGAGCATAAGGCCGTAATCTAAAATTTACCTCTATCTTTTCTGCTTGACGCGACCTGTACGCCTACGTTCTGCTACATGCGGCAGCGCCCCTTGGTCAATTGGGCTGAATGAGGGCTACGTTTCTGCCTGGTTTCCGGCTTTTTGTCGATTAGGCCGCTTAATAGTGCAGTCATTGCACGTCAAAATCCTAATAAAAACTACAAAATACAATTCAAAAATACAGATAGACATTATCATTGTTTGTTGTAATCATTATCCGTGTTCTAATGCCTTTCAAAAATATCCTGCTGTAAAATACATACTTTATACAACATTTTGCCAAACTTTTTGTAATCTACGAATAACGGGTGTACACTGTACGGACTTACCTGGAATATCTCTGAAAATGGTGGCTGTTAAGCCCTTAAACGCTCCGCGTACACCTTCTGTCTTTATTATATATCTAATGCAGTTGATTGGTCCAGTAAATTTAATTCCACTGTCAATCTGTGTCGATAATTGAAGTCTTGTTTTCGCTAACTCCATCGGTGCACATACAAAACTTTGCGCTAGACCAGCAATAGAGCCTGCATAAAAGTGTGAAAGCAGTGAATTGGGTTCATCGGACAAGCGTTGAATATTTCCATATACTCCGAAAACGATTGAGTTTACTAATCCAATTCCCGACATTGGGCTACTTATTCCTCTATATAAACCTTGGATATTATCTTTTTGTATTATTATTTTTAAGCAATGAAATGTTCCTTTATATTTTGGATTTTTTGGATCATCAGTCTGCAAATGAACTTTTACAGTATCTAATGGGTGGCCAACAAGCACTCCTGCAGCACCTTTAAAGAAGACAAAAGATAAATTGCAGTAAGTCCTGTAAAGTCGTAAAGTAAAAAATAAAAATAAGTAGTAAAATCAAACTGTTCTTTAAATTAGGTACAAAACTGACCTTTTAATAAATTATGTTAATTAAAGTTAACATTATTAAACCAGTACTCGAAGAGTTAAGTGGTATATTAGATTTGTGGTAAAAGTGGATGTGTGCAACGCAGAGAAGGAAACGTTTCGGACCCCACAAAGAATATATATTCTTGATCAGCACCAATAGCCGAGTTGGTAACAGGTCAGTTTATTGGAAAGTGGAAAGCTGCCACTATTACTCCCGTTTTTAAGAGAGGTGCTAAGAATTGTATCACTAATTACACTACTCGACAAAATCGAACTTTTGTGAAAAAAACAAGCGCTACCTCTGAAAAAAGCTTTAAAAAAAATACCAGTTTTCAAAAATTCTTTAAAAAAAAGTTCTGCCATAGAAAAAAAAAAAATATCATCAAACCATTTCTAAGCCCCAAATCTTTAAGAAAAAGTTCGTTTTGTTCCTTGAGAAAAATCGTGTTGACTAGACCAATTGCCAAACTCAGCAATGTTTTAAAACTTCTTGAGCGAATCACTGCCTAAAAGATCTCTTTTCTCATGAAGTCGTACATTAGCGCAAATCAGCGACCACTAATTTGGTTGCCTTCAGTAATTTTTGCACACATGCCTTTGAAGAGCATTCTCAGGTCGATGTGGTGTACATTGACTTTGCTAAGGCTTTTGACAAAGTCTCCTACTGTGCCTAAGTAGCCAAGCTGCATCGGTTGGGCATTCATTCGAGCCTGTTTAGTTGGTTCATGTCATATCTTGAGCAGCGAGAGTATGTTGGGAAGCGCTCTTGGGCCGTTGCTGTTTGCTTTTTTCATCAATGACATATGTTTCAGCATTCAGTATTTGCTTTATGCTGATGATCTGAAAATCTTCCGTCCTATCAAAATGTTAGGCGACAGAACCCGTCTTCAGCGAGACCTGGATGCAGTCGTTCATTAGTGCACACGTAATTCTCTCCCTCTCAACCATTGGACCATTGCGGCTCAGGTATTTTTATACTCGTACTCAAAAAAGAGCATCAATAGCCTAGTCGATATAGACATGTCTGTCTGTCCGTCTGTCTGCCTGTCTGTCTGTCTGTCCGTCTTGTTGAGCGCCTAGATCTCAGAGACTATAAGAGCTAGGGCAACCAAATTTGGTTTCCACACTCATGTTATATCACACTGCTACAAGTGTATTTCCAAATTTCGCCCCGCCCCCTTCCGCCCACACAAAGGACGAAAATCTGTGGCAGGCACATTTTTAAAGATACGATATAACTAAAAACGCAGTAGAGAATGGCCATATCTACCAGATTGCCGAATCTGAATTAGATCGGATTATAATTATAGCCAGAATGAAGAAATTCATTTTCAGTTGCTTCCCCTGCCCCCTCCTGAAACGACAACGCAACTCATTTTCCTTCTCGCTCGCACACTCTGCAGCGTTCAGTGCGCGAGCAACCCCTAGCGGAGGAGATGTAGAATCTAAATGGTACATGTTTAATATACATGTTAGATGTAGAATATACATAATATATGTAGATGTAGATAACAGATGTAGCAAAAAAATGTAATATGTAAAATTTTTTTTTTTAATTCTAAAATTCTAAAAAATCATATGCTCAAAAATGTATATACTGACTGAGTACGGGTATAAGTAGAGTCGCGTCCCCAGAATCGACTCGCACGTTCCTTCTCGTTATACGATATAATGGTGGGTAACATCGATTGGACTGACCTGCTTTCAACACGCCTGCCAGGAGCCGTAGGGACCACGCAATCTTTGTTGTTGATCTTCACCGGACCAATTACGGAAATAATGAGCCAATATGTGGGGCAGTTCTGCAGTATAATTCGCTGCCTGCTGATATGCGATTTGACTTTTGCCTTGGGTAAGGAGCCGTCAGACGGTTGCTTTCTGATTTTTTCTTGTTTTTTTTTTCAGCTGTTGTTCTCGTGAAGAATCGATCTGGCGTTATGTCGCGCCATTCTAGATTCAGGATCACAGCTTCATCTCGTCACATCCAGGTTCGCCTAGCAGCTTCAGCCTATTACAACTCAATCGTCTGCCCTTGTTTCTGGTCTGGGCGATTCTAGCGTGTCCACTGAGGGATCCACCGTGAGCATTTTCATGCAGTCTCGCACTCCGGACTATTCGACTACACTCACTGCTATCATCTCCCCCACAATCCCAGATAGCCAACCAAGTCTGGCTTGGTATCAAGCTCGCCGCTTTTGGCATCTCAAAATTCTTCGGACTTGGAGGCTATAATGAATGCAAGATTGGATAAACTCTTCGTATGTTTTGGGAAGTCGAGAATTGTGTGGAGTAGATTGTGAGACGCATTTCGTAAGCCACCTTTCACGTTTGCCATCAGGGGCGTACTCAGTTCGACTGCCTTTAAAGCATGATGAGGATCACTTGGGAGAATCTTATACTCAGGTTTATCGAACTGGATCGTAGTCCTACGCTCAAGGAGTGTTCCGCCTTTATGAAAGAGTACATAGATTTGAAGCATATTTCCTGACTCGCGTAGCCTCTGCAAGTATTTCCTGCATCATCACTGCGTTTTAAAGGAGGACAGTACCACGACAAAGCACCGTGTCGTTTTCGATGGCTCTGCAGCTACATCAACTGGATGTTCATCAAATGATGTGATGATAACAAGCTCCAGTATCCTATGGCAAGATAGGACAGTAGTTGTATGTTGATAGTCTCATTTTTGGCGGCAACTTGGTCTCAGAGGCCATGGAAAAGATGCGCCAAACTTCAAGTTTACTGTCTTGCGGTAACTTCAAGCATAGGAAGTGGTGCTCGAGTAGGCAGGAGGTGCTTGAGGAAATTCCAGAAGACGACGTCGAGAAGTTTCTGCCGTTCCATGATGGAAGCGAAATAACCAAAACTCTTGGTTTAGCTTGTGACCCTGCGTCGGATCAGCTGCTGTTTGCCTTGTCTGCGCTGGACACAAATTCAAATCCCCCCAAGCGGTCGGTTGGCTGGATTGGGATGAAAGCTTACCCGCAGTATTGCATAAACTTGAATGGACCTGAAAAACAGTTTATCAAGCATCTCTCGCATTTCGTTTCCTCGAGTGGTTCATCGTTCTAGTACAGCTGATGCCAGCATTGAAGCATATAGTGCTTGCATATATGTCGTGTCTAGACAAGGGCAGTCGTCGAGTAATGTTTTGTGCTCCAAGTCTCGAGTGGCGCCGCTGAAATCATTATCGATTCCTAGGCTTTAGTTGAGTGGACCCCATTTGCTTGCGAATATCAAGCGAAACTTAAAGGAGACGGGAATTTTCGCACGTCAGTTTTACTGCTGGTCGGATTCGTGGACGGCATTATCTTGGATACGGGATGAGCCAGCCAAGCTTCAAGTTTTCGTTTCAAATCTAGTGCCATCAATTCAAGAGTGGACGGAAGGCATGGAACGCCGCTATGTTCGCACATCGTTGAATCCCGTTGATATCTTATCGAGAGGCTCGCTTCCCAGCCACTTTATCCAGTCAGAGCTGTGGTTTCAGGGCCCATCGTTTTTGGTAGGCTCTAATGATGAGTGGCCTGTATCTCCTGATTGAGCTTTTCAAGCGGGTATTGCTGACCGCGTCGCCACATACTGATCTCACGTCCGGATGCAAATTTCCAAACTCTTTCTTTGGCATGCAGCGCACATTTGCCTACATGCATAAATTCGTTCATCGTCTTAGACAACCTGGACTCACGGTTTCTGACATTCAGCAAGGAACGCATCTTCTAGTTCGACACTTTTAGCTGACAAATTTATGGTCGGACACAAAGGAGATTAGAAGTCCGGAAGTCTAGCTTCATCAGTTCGCTCCCTCTGTTCATCGATCCGTCATGTTTATCAGCACTCGCTTATTTTGCCCAAGGGATATCCCGTAAATTCTGCAGTAATGAGCGGAACGGAACCTCCATGCCGGACCTCGCGCCTTGCCTGCCAAAATTCGATTAGAATATTGGCGGAATCAAAGCCGTCTCGAAAGTGGTTACCAAGCTTTTGAGATGCTTCAGGACGGGGCCACGCATAGTTGGGAGACCTTCCTACATCGTGGGCATTTGACCCCATAAAGTATATATATTCTTGATCAGTATCAATAGTTGAGTCTATGCCTGTCTGCCTGTCCGCCTGTCCTTCTTATTTGTCCGTCTTTGTCCGTCAGCATTGCATGCTGTTTTTTTTTTTAAGATAGCCCGAGAACGTGGCATGGTTTGCAGACAAAAATTTGTACTTTTCTATAAATAAGTTCCTCAAGAATTAAAAATTAATTTAAAAATCTTAAATTTGGTCCAAAAGTGTGTGCTTATAGCCAGATTTGGTGGTTTAATTCCTAAAATTAAAAATTAATCATAAACGAGAAGGAAAGTGCGAGTCGCTTCTGGGGACGCGACTCTACTTATACCCGTACTCAGTCAGTATATACATTTTCGAGCATATAATTTCTTAGAATTTTAGAATTTTAAAAAAAATTTAACATTTTACATTTTTTTGCTACATCTGCTATCTACATCTACAATGTATATTATACATCTAACATGTAGATTGTATATGTTCCATTTTGATTCTACATCTCCTCCGCTAAGGGTTGCTCGCGCACTGAACGAGGCAGAGTATGCGAGCGAGAAAGAGAATCAGTAGCGTGTTTCATGCAGGGGGAGACGGGGGAAGCAACTGAAAATGAATTTCTTCATTCTGGCTATAATTATGATCTATGGCAGAACTTCTTTTTAAGAACTTTTTAATTCTGGTATTTTTTAAAATCTTTTTTCCGAGGTAGCGCTTCTTTTTTCACATAACTCAAGTATCTTACGTCTGGTTGTAAAGAACCTTGTTATTTTGATAAGATAATTAGAACAGCTAGAAGTATAGCTCAAACACTTTTTGATTTCAGCTTACCGTCTGGGAAATA